TGAATAATATCCCTATAGTCAGTTTACACACCAGGCAGGTCATCTTACTCTTTGTAAACTGAAACCTCTGGAAGGTCCCCCCCCCCCCCCCCCCCACCCCCACCCCCACCGCTGACCCACTGGCCGTGTGCTGTTCCCAGCTGGCACACCAGGCAGGGTAAGTAGACTGACTTCCTGTTTCGTGCCATAAGTGCGTGCTGTGACTGGCCATGCACTGCTCCTGTATGCTCACGTGTGTGTCTCTTGTGTGTGAGTTATGTATTACATTGTGGGGACCAAATGTCCCCACGACGTGAAAAAAAAAACCTGTCATTTTGAGGATGTGGGGACTTTTTCGTCACAATGGGGAACTCAGTCTAGTAAAAATCTGTGACTGTAATCAAAAAACGAAAATAGCCAAAAGTCCTCTATTTCGTTTGGTTACTTATGGTAGAGGTCGTCATTGTTGTGATTAAGGTTTTTTTCCATAGATATGAATGGATGGTCCCCACAAAGACATGAATTCAAATGTGTGTGTGTGTGTGTGTGTGTGTGTGTGTGCATTGACATACATCCCTGTGCGCGTCACAGAGTAAGTCGGTGTCATCGATGGACAGCCAGCCCACAGAGGATCGGCAGGGCCCCTCGGGCGTCTTCCCAGCTCAGACAGCAGGGGGCGACGTCAAGAGGAAGCGCTGTGATGACAAAGAGCCCCCCACAGCACACTATGTAAGACCGCCGCACTGGTAATGGGGGTATATCCTATGCAGCCAAACGGCATCGCTCAAAAGGGTGAGGGTCCACTCTACGGCATCGCAGAGAGGTTAGATCCAAACATTACTCAAAGGTGTATAGTGAAAACATGTGCCTTGACCGTCGATATAATTACCTTTTATAGATCTTGGCAGGGTAATATGCAGCCATGCTACTTCAGAGCTGGGAACTGACTGGGGTTAATCATAAAAACTCGTTTTAGAAACGGAATAAAATGTGTCGACCCCTTGTGCACATCAGCGGTCTAAAAGCAGGGGGTGATGTCACCTCGAGTAGGATTATAACGTTAGACGCTGGCCCGTCATCAAACCCTGATTGGAGTCTTTCCTGTTTCGCAGGACAGTGAAGGGGACAAGAGTGAGGACAACCTGGAGGTGGACGTGTCCAATGAGGTGGCGTCATCGTTCTCTCCGCCCCGGTTCGCTTGTTTCCCACCCGCAGTGAGCACCCCCTGCCTTCACGCGCTTCGCTCGACGCGTCTGGCCGGAGGACCTGGGCGTCCGTCCTCACAGTCCCTTGCGGCCGATATCCATCATGACACTAGATGGTGCTGTTGTAACCTTAGAAACTCTTATCGCGCTCGGCGCCGTCAATCTGAGCTCGGCTGTGACAGCTGTGATCCTGCTTCGTGGGAAATCCGAGTCGCTCTCCGCAGATTCCCTAACCCAGCCCGAAACGCATGATTATTCCTGTAAGGGTCGCAGTGAAGGTTTTTCTGATGTGGTAGCCGCACAGGTTAGAATGCGACTTTAAATCCCGATCCGCCGTCACCTACGGAAACAGGCCGAGAGCCAGGCCTCCTTCCCGCTGTGAGTAACTGTACCCCGCGGCGTCGCCGTTCTCCGTAAGCAGGTTCGGCTGACACCCGCTGTCCCTCGCGTCTAGGAGCCCGCATCCCCGGCTGGCGGACCCCGCCCCGCCTGCTCCCCCCGGAGCAATGGGCCTGACCGGGAGCTGACCCTCCGGAAGGAGCCACGCGGGAGCCCCACCTCCCCGGGCCGCACCTCCCCGCCACCTCACAGCCCCCCGACTCCCAGTAAGGCCAGGGATTCCCAGGTAGACCCTCCGGAGGACACCGGCTCAGGCTGTATTAGCTATATTTGAGAGTCTGAGAATCTCTCACCTAACCCCCCCCCCCACAATGGGCACTAAAGCTGCAGTCTTCGCAGAGCCAATAGAAACATGAAATAGCCCCCCCTCACTGGTACTGTCTGCTCAGATGGAGAAATCAGCTTCCCCCTCCTCCAACTCGGGGACTCCTTCCCCCTCGCACCCGGACGCTCTCACCCCAGGCCCCAGCTCGTCCTGCCTGCGTTTGGCCAGCAAGTCGTCCTTGTCCGACCCCTTGGGTGAGGCTGATCCCCCCCCCCCCTCCTCGCCTATATTAAATCCCCCAGCCAAATCGATGCTGTTTCTCCAGGCAGATCTGCTGTCTTACAGCCAGCGTGTGGGTTCACGCAGAGTCCGTCGTT